TACTCACCAGTGGCAAACAGTACTCACAAGCACAGGGCACTGTCATAATGGGGATGGCAACTACAGAAACACATGTCGCAGACAATGAGCGAGGAGCACAGATTCGCACAGGAGACTATATTTTGGTGTGTCACTCCTACAATGCACCATGCAAAGCAGCTGACCGTGGGCTTCCACCACACCGATTGATTGCATAAGAGTGAATTTACCTTGCATATAATTAATTTTGGTGTAAAAAGGGTCATTACATAACAGCCAATTCACACATACAGAACCTGTATAAAGTGAGGGAAACCTGTACTCCCAAATCCATTAGCAGGCATCCTACGTGCAGGACCAAGCCTGGAAGTCTTGGGGTTCAGAGGCCCCCAGATCCTACAGGCAAGCATCCTTCATCCCAGACTCTTTAGTCCAGGACTTCAGATACTCTTTAGACTTGATCTGACCCCACAAGAAGCCAAGGGGGAAAAAAATAAAAAGGTTGTATAGGATTTAGAACTGGTTTGGTTAATTTGACCTGGAACATGAAATAATAAATAAATAAAAATAGTTTGTATATGCTGCTTAAATGTATGTATTTGGAGTACCTGTGCTAAAACTTGCAGCAGTTTCAAAAAGGAACAATGTCTCAATTCTGGCTAAATTAAGTCTATGGGTACCTGTAGTACTTTACCTATATGCAAATTTTATTCCTCTCTTCCATGTTCAGGGGGAGCAGGGTCTGATAGTAAGAAGAGAGGAAAGAAGTTGCAAGGGGCAGAGAGCAAGGGTGCTACCTAACCCCCTAGATCTTTTTTCCCCTGATGTAGCAGTAGGAAGGCAAAAAATTCAAGATGCATCTCAAATATTTAGATTCTATACCTGGAAAATCTTAACAGATTTATAAATGTTCTATATATAGAATCTCATTATTGGGGGGTCATCTTATATTTAGGGTCATCTTATGTTTGAGTAACTATGATGACTTTGTTAGTTTTGAATGGGAAAAAGGAAAAGGAAAGGCTTTTGTCCTGGAGCAAAAATGGCCACTCCAGGACAACAATAACCTGACAACAACCAGCTATAAATTGGTCCCAGGAGCAAGGTCAGTGACTGGGGAGGCTGGGGGGAAGCCAGCTGAGCTGGGAACCATGCCTGTGAAGGTTCTCCCTGAGGTAGCAGGGCACAGCCCCTGCCCACTCGCACTGGAGTCCCAGGTGTCTTGAGTGGGTGGGGGCCATGGGGCTCAGTCTGCCCTGCTCCCAGGCACCAGGAGCCAAGTAAAGGGATCAGTGCTGAGATCCCCATTCCTGCTCCTCTCACTGGTCTGGGGAAGGCATAAGGAGCAAAAAAGAGGGAGCACTTGTAGTCTGAAGAGCTGTATTGCTCCTTCTCTTAGAATCATTTCTAGTGATGGGAATTTTCCACCACTAGAAGTGAACATTTGAACACAGCTGTTGTTCCCCTATGCAGCATCTAGCATATCTATAATCCTCATCTCCAGGAAGAGAGAGAGTACAAGGAAAGGTTAACCAGGTACACTTGATATTTCCAAGTAGGTGGAGTATCAAGCATAATTTGACAGAAAGGTTACCACTTTGTACTAACCAGCAGAGGTGACCCTCTTTTGAGAGGAAGGTAATGTTGTAGCCTTGTAAGACGTACACTGACAAACAAATTCCACTTAAACTTGTTGGGATTTTGCCTTTTTGATGAGGACAATGCCTTTGGAAATATCCACTGGGATGGTACATCACTACAATGCTGTTGCCACGGTGTCTTTATAGTCACATGCAGGCCAATTTTATTAAACTTTCATATAAAGTAATGATTTCCACTGGAACAAAAGACACAACCAGCTCCTGAGCAGTATTTCCTTAATGATCTCAAATTGTAGCAGTAAATCTAAGCTATTCAGGTTATAGCAATTTTTTTCATTCGTTTATGTAATATGAAATCTGTTTGATTGTCACAGCTCAAACGTTTTGATTAATTAAATTTTGCTGAGTGAATCTTGGCAGTGTCTAGAATTTTTTCACATATTAATCCTTTCTATTCAGTCCATTTATTACATGAAGTGTTTTGGGAGTCTGTTTTGAAAATCAATTTGAACATCAAGAGAAGTGCTGGGTCAATATTGGAAGTCAGCAAAAGATCAGTACACAATTATTTGAACTGTGATTAAGAGTTCTTTTCCACCAAAAAAGAATTCTTACCTATACATATAGAAAAGAACAGCATGGAAGAGAGTGATGAAAGAGTAGATTTTAATGTTTGTTTCTTTTATATTTATCAATATGAAAATAGTGATTACAGGATTTTTGAGACTTAAGTAGCTTGCTTATCCCTCCTACCCCCATGTCTCTGGTGCTTATTATGAGCCAGAAGGCCTTTTTAACTATGTAGTGTTTTTCCTAACATCTATAGCCTTTGTGACTTAAATCAGTGGTTCTCAACCTTTTTTAGACTAAAGTTAGTCCTCAGAAAATACTCTTAGCTTAATTTAGCTTTCACTCATTTTTTTTTTCCACGAAGAAAAATAGACAAACTCTACTGTGGCAATTTTAGAAAGACTACAACAGGTCAGAATGTTTTTGACACTAAGTATTCTAGTTTGTAATCTCTGGTTTATCTTGTGAATCACATATAGGGTGTTTGCTCACCTAACAGTTCTAATATTATTTGACACTCATTAAAAAGATCTTGATGGCACCACAGAGTGCTGTGGCACTCTGGCTGAGAATCACCACCTTAAACTTTTCCCCCACAATTTTTTTAAAAAGTGACTTATCCTAGTGATTGAGTTTAGAAGCAGTTTTTACTGGTGTACAGTTAAAAGATTTATTTGAAAGACAGAGATACCCACATGATTTGTGAAACTTAATTATGGCTTTATCCAAAGTGCTAGAACTCCCATTTAGCAGAAGCACTGTTATTAAAGGCAAGGCTAATAGCACTACCTATTATGAAGGGTTCAGGATATTTTCTGTTAAAGGCCCAGGTCTCTCCAGTTCATAAGGCTGCTAAATTGTAGCCATTTGGGCTGAATTTTTCCTATTCTGAGGAATTTTTTTTCATTTTAAGGCAGGGCATTTAATCAATGTGCAAGGAGGCTAGAGGGGGGTGGTTTGTTTTATTTCTTTCTTTTTGATCTCATGTTAAATATTCTAGAAACTTGACTTTCATAAGCTCCATAGCCTGTGCACTTTTGGAAGATTTGAAATTTAATGGCAAGTAATATTTCTTTAAGTGGATATATCTTTCACAGTCACTGTCTAAATTTGTGAAAAGTTATGAGTTTTTGAAAATCAAAGTTTGCACGTGCTCAGTAGGGAGCTGTTAGAGATTCACAGCTCAAATCCCAAAAGATTTTGGATGTGAACAAGTACTTACAGGACCCAGTTTAGGTTTAGGCAGTTTATTTTAAGCCATCTAAATTTAAACTGGGAGTGGCAAGTGCAAGCATTTTCCAGTGCTGGGAGCGACCCAGGCAACCAAGTAATTTGGGGAGGGAAGGACCTGGTAGATCCACAGGGAGGAGGGGGGCAATTGCCCAGTTCGGTAGTGGGGAGGTAGTCAGTGGGCTAAAAATAGCCTGGTAAGCATAGAGTGGGTAGGTACAGCACGCAGCACAGCCCCAGGGCTGGGATGAGTGGTTGGACTTTTCCAGCCCCAAGGCTGTGCTGTGAATATGTACAAGCCTTTGCCAGATCAGGTTAATAACCCAGGTCAATCTAAAATTAGTTCACGTTTAACATGAGCTAAATTTAGATTGGGGATACAAGATAGGCTAAGTAGACAGTCAAAAAGCCTGAGGCTGAATTAATCCATCCTGCACAGGTTAGTCTAAACTGCATAGATTGAACCAATAAGCAAGTGAGCAGACATTCACTTTTGATTCTAGAAATGCAGCCACATGCCTGCAGTGGCCCAATTCAGAAGCCTGAGGACACTAGAGAGTGTTTCCCTGTTCTGGTAGAGCAGACACTTGGGCCGAGGCTAGCTCGCCCACCCTACAAAGCCAGGAGTGGGGGGAGGTTGTGGGGGAGGTGCAAAGTATTCTTGGATGCTGGAGGACTGAGAGTTAACTCGAATCTGGAAGGCATCCAGGACAGAAGTTCAGTAAACCAGTTTAACCTAAATCAGTTAAGTTTGATACTACATCCATCCAGGGTTATTTTAAATTGGTTTTGACCATTTTGAAAGCAATTTCTGTTCACTGAACTTCTGTTGTGTTACAGATCTGAACCACTGTCCAATCACTTATACTGGTTTATGTGTATTTCTGTTCCTAGCCTTTCAAGGTGATTTTAAGCCCTGTGAACATGCAACCTGTATGCCCGGCCATTTAGGTTGACCTAAACTTGTACCTGGCCATTCTTTAGTCTGGGCTGAGAAAACCATAATAGCTTTACAGTGCCCATAGGGAGGCTGGGAAAATAGGTTAATTTCAGTGAGTTGCTCAGATACTACAGTACACTAGTTCAATAGGGAAGTAATAGAATACTGCAGCAGAAAAGCCAATGAAAAACTTAATAATTCTGACTTCAGAAACAAGACTTGAATATATTGAATAAAATGCTAATAATATTCAGTAGTACTGAACAGTATTCAGTGGGGTCACCCATGGAATAAGAAGGTGAAAACAAACTGTTTTAAATGACTAAACAATGTCCGTTCTGCTCATCAAGTGACGAATGGATAAAACTGTATGCGATCACATGATAAAAGATTGTATCATGACGTATATGCACTAGCAGACCAAATTAAAATAGAACAGGTAATCTTAATTCAGGCATTTTGTGACTATGAGTACTTAATTTAGCACACTTAATACTATTGTTTTTCATATTTTTTGTATAATTTAATATATACTGCAGCCCTCATAAAGAGGAGCCCTTCAATACAATTTTTTAATCTGTTTCTTCCATTCTGTCAGATTTAATACATTGTATGTTATTTCTAGTATGTCCTATAGATATATGTAAAATATATTAACAAAACATTATTCTTTTTTTCAGGCTATTTCCTCTCCTTGTCCTCTACAGTGAGTTCATCTCCTGCAACTTTAAAAAGCAGAGTTTTCCTTCCTACTGATACCAGTCATGTTTGCCAGGTATTGGGATGTGTCTTCCTTCTATTTTATCACTTGTCATAATGATTGGCCAGAATAATCAGAACTTTTCTTTCTTCTAGATTAAATTTTATTATTGGATTGGTCACATAAGTGGAAAATTGATGGTGGAACTCCAAAAGCATGGTGATGGTTCCTATGAAAATATCTGGCAAGAATCTGGAAGGCAACAAAATCAGTGGAGAACAAATATAATTACAATCAATAGCACTGACAAGTTTAAGGTTTGTAGGTTGCTATGATTTGTATGTATAATGGAGAAAGTAGAATATAGAGTAAGAATAACTATACAAATTATTTTGTATCTAGAAAATAGTGTAAGCAGGTATATTTTCACTATATTAAAAACTGGTATATTTATTGTTTGTTTTAATCTGGTGAATCACACTTAAAATATACTTAAATTTTAGATAAAAAAATCATTCCTATATCTTCATAAAGTTGAGTCTGTCCAAATTTACACTTTTTAGAGCTCACATTATTTTTTTTATAATCAAACTAGAAAAGAAACTAAACACACACCTAAACTTTGTTGGATTACAACTTTATTTTATATATGTTTGGCTGTGAATCTCTCTAGAGATGTATTAGTTGATAAAGGCTGACAGTTTCCACTAAGTTTAGCTTTGAGCCTTTGTTACAAAAGATAGGATTTTACTTGGAATAACTGTAACTTTCTGAAAGTTTGTTCAAATAGTTTCAGCATTTTCATATGTTAATCTATGTGCAAAATCTATGCAAAAAGAATAACAACAACCTCCTAGTTATAAAATATAGTCTTTTATAATATTTCTACCGTTAAGTTGATCATGAGAAATTAACTTATTGTGCTTAGCCCAAGGACATTCTCAGGTGACCACTATCTTAAGAACTCAGTACATTTTCTTTGTAACACTCTTACATAGTTAGTGCATATGGCAATCATAATTTTAAATCATCTAGTTTTTCTCTCCTTGGAAAAAGATATTTCAGTTATTGTGTGTGTGTATGTATATGTGTGTATATATTTATTTATTTATTTCTAAAAACCATGCATACACCTTAATTTTCCCATGAAAAGTTTTGGTTTTGATATTGGTGTATTCGGGCAAAAAATGCTTCATTGAACATTTCCCAGAAAGCATTACAGCTTCTGGCATATAAAAAGAACTATTCATAGTTTCATAGTAGCTAGGGTCAGGAGGGACCTGAACAGAACATCTAGCCTGACCCTCTGCCACAGGCAGGAATGAATGCTGGGTTCACAAGACCCCAGACAGGTGATCATCCAACCTCCTCTTGAATTTGCCCAAGGTAGGGGCGAGGATCACTTCCCTGGGAAGTTGGTTCCAGATTTTGGCCACCCTAACTGTAAAATATTGTCTTCTGATCTCCAACCTAAACCTATTCTCCATCAGCTTATTACCATTGTTCCTTGTCACCCCACGTGGTGCTGGGGAGAAAAGGGCTCTGCCTATTTGCTGTTGATCTTCCCTGATGAGCTTGTAGGCAGCCACCAGATCCCCCCTCAGCCACCTCTTGCTGAGGCTGAACAGGTTCAGGTCCCTCAGTCTCTTCTCGTAGGGCCTGTCCAGCTGCCCTCTCACCAAGCGGGTGGCCCTCCTCTGAACCCTCTCCAGGCTGGCCACATCCCTTTTGTAGTGTGGTACCCAGTACTGGACACAGTACTCCAACTGCGGCCTGACCAAAGTTGCATAGAGGGGGAGTATCACCTCTCTGGACCAGCTTGAGATGCACCTTTGGATG